ATATCATGCCAACTTGGCGCGAGAAGTCCTACTATCTGAGGGTCGAGTCTAAGGCAATGTCATGTCAACTGAACCGGATAAGACCTACTGTCTGAGGGTGGAGTCTAAGATTATGTCATGTCAACTGGACGCGGTAAGTCCTACTGTCTGAGGTTGGAGTCTAAGACAATGCCATGCCAACTGGACGCGGTTAGTCCTACTGTCTGAGGGTGGAGTCTAATACAATTTCATGTCACCTGGACGCGGTAGGTCCTACTGTCTGAGGGTGGAGTCTAACACAATGTCATGTCAACTGGACGCGGTAAGTCCTACTGTCTGAGGGTGGAGTCTAAGATAATGTCATGTCAACTGGACGCGGTAAGTCCTACTGTCTGAGGGTGGAGTCTAAGATAATGTCATGTCAACTGGACGCGGTAAGTCCTACTGTCTGAGGGTGGAGTCTAAGGTAATCTCATGCCAACTGGACGCAGGAAGTCCTACTGGCTGAGATATAAGTCCAAGATAATGCCATGCCAACTGAATGTAGGGAGTTCTACTGTCTGAAGGTGGTCTCCAAGATAATGCCATTTAAACTGGCCGCGGAAAGTCCCACTGCCTGAGGGTGGGGTTCAAGATAATGCTATTCCAACTGGCTGCGGAAATTCTCACTGGCTGAGGGTGAAGTCCAAGATGATGTCATGCCAAATGGCCGTGGATAGTCCCACTGCCTGAGGGTGGAGTCCAAGATAATGTCATGCCAACTGCCGCGGGGAAGTCCTACTGTCTGAAAATGGTCCCTAAGATAATACCATGCCAAATGGCCGCGGTAAGTCCCACTGCCTGAGGGTTGAGTCAAAGATAATGTCATGCCAACTAGGCGCGGGAATTCCCACTGTCTGAGGGAGTCCATGATACTGTCATTCTAAGGGAGTCCCATCCAGCTAGAGAGATGCATGTATGCACAGTGAGAGGTACATTGAAGGAGTTGAAAGAAGTGTTTTCATTATCAAAGTTGTAATATCTGGAGACAACTCAACATGATATCATCGGGACACTTAGACAGTTAAGGAATTTATATATAACACATGGGAAAATGAAATGGAAATTGTGTACACTGTAATAGACTTTGTGTGATATTACAGAGTTAGATCATTAGGTAAAAAATGTTTATTATTGTTGAAACTGTGAGAGCGCATTTTTCGAGAATACTGTCACATACAGCATACTGTCTAATATCACTTTTATAGCCTTGCGTGTTTTCTTATTGCTAAGAACTAGCCGCCGGATATACAAAGACGTTGCTGTAGTGTACTGATCAAGTGTACCAATACAAGGCCGGAAAATATGGACCAAGCGTACCAGAGCTTTGCTGCAGGAAACTACGAACCAGGCGTACCAGAACTTTGCTGCAGGAAACAACTAGCCAGGCGTACCAGAACTTTGCTGCAGGAAACAACTAACCAAGCGTACCAGAACTTTGCTGTAGGAAACACTAGGTGCCAAAATTCGGACCAGCAAGAGTGATAATATAAATCTAAGTTAAAGTAACTTGTTATAAAATAAAAACAATATCCGTTAATAATTATCAGACCATGATACTATATGCAATTTAATGAAGTGAAATATACCTCACAAAGGATGGTAACTTGGTTCTAGTTTTTACCAAACTGCTTGTACTGACATATTGAAATAAGTGGACCAATCCAAATTAGTTCCTGGAACTGTTAGACACCATGATGCAGCCCGTCCTCTTCCAAAGCTACTTCAAGTCTAATGAAAAAGTATTACAAAAAACACAGATCTTATTTCAGTATCATGTTTAATATATACTATATCATATTGCAGGTGAAGACATCCTTATGACGTCATTATGGCGGTGAAAAAGTGTCAACACTACAAATGATCGTCTGGTGCTGCACAAACTTTTTATAATGTTTCGAAAAGCATATGACACAAAAACATTCAACATGGTCTTTCTCAATGGTTTCATCACATGACAGTGACATGAGTTTGGAGAGAGCGTCATTATCCGAAATGAAAGATAACAAAACATATCTTTAATGAATTTATCATGTAATACACACAAACAAAAATCTGTGTTGAAAGACATTTGCTACAAAACGTTGACAAAACATCTGCCTTAAAGAGATCGCTCTGGTGAAAGATGTATTGTATATAATATACAATATATAATTTACCTTGATTGATCAATTATACAAATGACCAGTCGTAAAACTGTGGCTTGTGAGACCAGTGTTATCACAGAGCTACTATTACAAGTAAGTAACAGACAGTTTCTTCTCTCAAATATATCAGTTCCTAAGAGAATGACCAGAAATAAAATTGCAAATCAGCAAGAACAATTCTTTTGTCAGACTAAATAGAAGTGCATTTCTCTCATGACAGCCTTCTAAAGATCAGACCATAACTGAACTGCCCGCCTGAAATATCACTCTCTATTGGATACTTTCTTAGACTGCAAAATTTCTCAATATTTTTAAATTGACACTTGCTCATCAACAAATCACAATTTTAAATCTGCACATTTTATTCATTTGAATTTTGCACCAACATTTCTGGTGGAACCATGTGCAGTGAAATATTTTTTAACCAATATGATTTGTTGTAACAATAACTTTGAGACTTTAGTTTCAATAGTGAATACAGATATGATTTTCTTTATCATTATTGGAAAAAAACATAACATATCTATAAAGATAATATCAAATTCACCCAGGCCGCAAAACACCAGAAACATGTATCCAGCATTGGAAGTTAAATAAGGTACAAAATGTTGTCAACAATACATGTTCATTGCAGGTATATTGTTACCTGTTCATTGTAACTAGCCCATATAAATTACACCCTTACCTGGGTAAGGTACATGGTTAAACCATGTATACATTGCAACTTATCCATGTACATTGTTAATAGTGTACCTTGTAAATACGACATAACACCTCAATATCAGAGCACTGTTATAAATGACATTGAGAAAGAAAAAAAAGTTCGGATGAAATCGCTGAAAGTCATGTTTCCTTTTTGCAGAATTATGAACATTTTACAGCATAATGAGTATAATTATGGTGAAATACAGAAGTGTTTTGATAATAATTTTTGACACTACAGCTAACAATCTGGTTCAATTTGATATGTCTATATGTTAAAAATCTTGATACAACTAATTCAAGGTGTACAATCAAGTTTAAATAGTTAAAACATTCTTTGGAGAAAAATACACAAAATGATATCAACAGCAATCTAAAATACTGAGCAAATGTTGGGACTGTCAGGTCAATTAAAGTAACTAAACACTGTAATAATATCAGCTAACACTAAATGACCTTACATCTAGGTTCTATTGTAGACAAAACTAAGGGCAGCATCATAATAAGCTGTATGTAAACAAATTATTATTCAGAATATATTGGTTTTTACAATTACCGTGTGTAAAAAAAATAAAGCAAAACAAACGATCAAATAAAAATAAATAAAAAACAGTATCTGCTTTGGTTTTGATATTTCTCCCTTTGATTGAAGTGCTTTTGATTAAAATGAAAATATTGATGGCATTAAAGTGTAAATGGAAAAATAAATACCGATAATAACAATGATATAATATAAACTCAAATCACCTTGAATTATAATAGTAAAGAATAAGTCAAAGGTCACATGATAGGGTTTACATAGACGCACAAACAAAAGGTTTCAGCTTAAAATGAGACATTGCCTATAATACATCAGGGAATGAGGGTTGGGGGCTGGGAACTGTGGCTGGGGGTAAGGCTAGATATTGCCTATAATATACAGGGGAATGACGGTTGGGGGCTGGGAACTGTGGCTTGGGGTAAGGCGCTAGATATTGCCTATAATATATAGGGGAATGACAGTTGGGGGCTGGGAACTGTGGCTGGGGGGAAGACTAGATATTGCCTATAATATACAGGGGAATGACGGTTGGGGGCTGGGAACTGTGGCTGGGGGTAAGACTAGATATTGCCTATAATATACAGGGGAATGACGGTTGGGGGCTGGGAACTGTGGCTTGGGGTAAGGCTAGATATTGCCTATAATATATAGGGGGATGACAGTTGGGGGCTGGGAACTGTGGCTGGGGGTAAGGCTAGATATTGCCTATAATATATAGGGGAAAGACTGTTGGGGGCTGGGAACTGTGGTTTGGGGTAAGGCTAGATATTGCCTATAATAAATCGGGGAATGACGGTTGGGGGCTGGGGGTAAGGCTAGATATTGTCTATAATATATAGGGGAACTGTGGTTGGGGCTGGGAACTGTGGTTGGGCGTAAGGCTAGATATATTGCCTATAATATGTAGGGGAATGAGGGTTGGGGGCTGGGAACTGTGGTTTGGGGTAAGGCTAGATATTGTCTATAATATATAGGGGAATGACGGTTGGGGGCTGGGAACTGTGGTTTGGGATAAGGCTAGATATATTGCCTATAATATATAGGGGAATGAGGGTTGAGGGCTGGGAACTGTGGTTTGGGGTAAGGCTAGATATTGTCTATAATATATAGGGGAATGACAGTTGGGGGCTGGAAACTGTGGCTGGGGGTTAGGCTAGATATTGCCTATAATATATAGGGGAATGACGGTTGGGGGCTGGGAACTGTGGTTTGGGGTAAGGCTAGATATATTGCCTATAATATATAGGGGAATGACGGTTGGGGGCTGTAAGGCTAGATATTGCCTATAATATA